TAGCGCAGAGGAACTATCGAAGACTGACCAACGACAACATCGCTACCGCTAGGCACGTAGTACCTCAAGAGAATCTTCTGCGCGTTTTCACGTAACTGCCCCCGAAAAACCTCTTCTTTATCAATTATTCTAAAGCCAGAGGAGACCTTTTATGTTCACCGTTTGAATTGATAAAATCGAGGGAGACATTTTGCTTACGGGTTTCAATCGGCTTTCATAGTCTGACGCCGGTCAATCTTCGATAGTTCTGCAGAGCTCGGTCAGTCAGCAATAATTGCAGAGTTTCCAACCTAGAGGATAACGCAAATTTAACATTTTTTGTGCGTGGTATTTCGAGAGAAAGTGGCAACTTCATCTTTTAACATTGGCGTAAATGTTTCAAGTTTGGCTTTACGTGAATTTTATGTTAAAGGCAAGCAGAATTATATTTTGTAATGGACCACTAGACGATTTTAAGATTCTGATACATGTTTCCTAGTCAGAATTTCACGTAAAGCACGATTCGCACAACGAAAATTACTGAAACCAACTCTTAACGATGATATTAACGTTTTTATTTCGCATTGGTTTCGAGGAATTTGAACTGCCCGCTCACAAGAAACTCAAAGCTCTACGTGAATCAAACCGCGCACTACAACGGTTTCAGCAAGCTTCTCAATCGAGCAATGTTCATTTCCCACCATGTGTTGTTCAAACTATAAGCAATTTGCTATAGCTGAGCCAAAGCGTCAAGATCGAGGCTGCCAGATTTTTATATCGCAGAGACTGTCATGGTAACGTTTAGCGCGCGATGTGAATCACGTAGAGCATTGAGTTTTCATGAGCGGGTGGTTTGAATTCATGCATCAAGAATCGTTAAATATCTTCGTAAGGAGTTAATTTCGGTAATTTTCGTTGTGTGTATCGTGTTTTACGTGAAATTTTGGTTTAGAAACATGTATCAGAATGCTGAAATTCGTACCTTATCTAGTGGTCCCATAAGGGACTTACGGCAAAACGTAGATTTACTGCTCTTGGAGTTAGCATAGCGGATGTGTCGAACAGCGGAAGTGCAATCGCTGGCAAAACAAGTGTTAACAAGGGTCAGCCTACATGACGCGAGCTCTGAACGCGTTTCGACTTTCAACGGCGCACGTTGCGGAGAGAGAGCGAGAGAAAGCCAGCGCGCCTTAGATTTTTTGCATATGCAACCAGGACAACCGCAGAGCACGAATAGTCGTATCAAAGCGCCTTCGTCATCGACGTCGCCGATAATGCTTTCCCTGATGCGGTTTGATTAAGCGCGCTTCAGAGGGAGCAATTCTGCCGTGCTAGGGAAGAACGCCGTATGAACATTCGAGAGTTGCCAAATTTCCTTCGATAAAATGTTTATTTATGAGGAAAATTATGAATATTTTTCATTGAAATTTTCAGACGTTTTAGATCAAATTACAAACAAAATTTTCTGAGAAATTGGTAGACAAATATTCAAAAATTTTCCTGAAAATTTGTGATTTGCCAGGGTAAATTTGGCAACGCCTGAGGGCTCATACGGCGTTTTTCCTTAGCACGGCAGTATTTAGGTAGCTCGGTTTCTTGTCGCCATAGTCCCATCTCAGATTGATCAATCTCTCCTTGGTGAAAAAGGAATCTTGGTGATTCGCTTTTGATTCTACAAGAACATATTATAAGTTTTTTTTTTTTTTAACAGTATAAAGAGGGAACACTTCGGGTTGCTCGGTTTCTTGTTTTGTCGTGCTAAGAAAGACCACCATATGAATATTAGAGAGTTGTCAATTTTCCCTCGATAAAATGTTTATTTTTGAAGAAAGTTATGAATATTTTTCCTTGAAATGTTTAGGAACTATAGTTGAAATTGCAAAAAAAATGACTAAATAAATGGGAAGGAAAATATTCATAACTTTACCAGGAAATTCGAGTTTTAATCAAAGGAAACTAGGCAACGCTTAATGGTTCATACGGCGTTTTGCCCTATCATGGCAGTGTTGTCGTAGTCCGATCTCAAATTGGACATATTTCTATCAAATGAAACTATATGCATTGTGACGGGAGCCCTGTAATGCATATATTCTTATGGGTATCAGGGCTCATTTCTTAATGCACACAGTTCCGTTTAGTAGAAATATGTCCAATTGATAATCGCTTCTTGGCGAGAAGGAAGTTCGATTAGCTTTTGATTCTACGCAAACATACTCTTTAAGTTTTTATTTTACAATGTTTTATAAGGATGCTTGAGACAATGTTTTAGAAGGATGTAAGAGTAGGTAGGTTTTCAATGTGTTCATTCCGAGAAAATTGCCAATGCTTCCGTAACTAGTGTTGTCACACACCCAAAGATAAACTGGATCGCACTAAACAAACCAGTCATACATGCTTCAGTTTGGAGAAAAGACCGAAGTCCAGTAGTGTAGACCGGGCGACATATTTTTGACAGGGGCTCATACGAAGTTGAACGAAATGGAAAACACCAATTATATTTTTAATGGATTTTTCTGGATTCTTAGAACGTGAAAAGAAGATCATTTCCTCAGATTCTTGGTTGATTTTAGTCTGACAAGCACTGAGCTTTCTTCATGGTGTATTCTGGTCAAACAAGGATTGCTCTAGGTTCCAACATATTTGTCGGTGATCTGCACAGCTTGTTGCTTTTAGGCTTGAACGTACACAAAATCTTACTTCTAACTTAATCATTCATCAATTTTATCTCTCTCAAACGTTTTTATGCCTCTAATTTTATGAACTGATTCGTCATTCCGAAATCTTATCCTAATCCAATAGATTTCCAAATCCACCCTATGCTATACTATTGTCTCCTTTTCTCCACTTATTGCCAACGTTTGTTTCATTTTCTCCCGCTACTCAGTCTTACTCCGAATAACACTCAGTATGACAAAAATTCTGCTGTAGTAAAAAACGAGCCAGTCTCTTATCATTTCCTAGTGGTGTGAGTTGACTGTATCTAAGAACTAAACAAAAAAACGAATAAAGCTCTGATTTCCTGGGCAACTGGCGACTGTATGGCGACTGGGTGCCAAAAAGAGGATGTCACTTTGTAGGTTGCCTGATAACCTTTGGAAAGATAAGCACATTTAGCGTTTGGGTGTCTCTGAGCGTCAGAGTGCGCTGTAGAGGCAACGTACATGTAGGCATGTCTTAGGGAAAGTATCCAGGGATGACAAACCTACCAACCACCAAGGCAGAAGCAAGGTACCTTTTTTTTCGTAGATACTTAATTCCTAGCTGAAATCAAGGTCGTCAAGCCGAAAATCCAACAACAGCAGTTCCCTGGACCAGGTTCATCATGCATCTAGCAGATACATTACACAAGTCCCTCGAACCTACATGACCTATCAATCTAGGGTCCAAAGGCCGAAAACCAATGGGACATCTGACCAAAACAACAAATATTCCTCCAAAAATTTTCTTTTATAGTCCCATATTTTACACAAACTGATTGAGGCGGACGCTCTGGTCATAAGACAGCATGGTGGAGTTTTTTAGCCGACGTGCGTTGAAAATCTGCATTAAGCTGAAAATCTCAATACAGAGAGAAAAAGCTCATATGAGAACAATTTTCCCTCAAGGAGATACGGATATTTAGTGCAACACTAGTAACAACTATTCAGGAAGGCACCATCAAGGGCCATTAAGAGCATCAAGGGTCTCAGGCTGGTTTTCACAACCTCCTAGAACTTGATGGCAAAAATTCAGGAGGATGCGCTGCACTGAGAATTGGCCCAACAAGGCCGAAACGCGTCTAGAGTTGCCTTCCTGAATGGTCGTTACTAGTGTTGCACCAAACAGCGTATCTCTTTGAGGAAAAATTGTGCTCATATGAGCTTTTTCCTTCTGTATTGAGATTTTCAGCTTTATGCGGATTCTTTATGCATGTTGGCTAAAAAACTCCAACATACCGTCCCATGTTTTACTCAGACTAAAAGTAAATTCAAGAAACGCCCAAGTTAATTCAAGTTCACTCAGTAAGTGAATGTAATAGAAGTTGTTGCTCCATGCAATATTTATTTTCAGCCAACAAATTATGGCCAGCTGCAGTTAAAGATTTCAGAAAAACACAGGAAAATTCACGAAGTCAATAGTCATCCAAAGAAACATCCAAAATAAGTAGAAAACCTCGCAATCATTCCTTTTTCTTTTAAAAGGTACCTATTTCAAAGTGATCCTGTTTTTGCCATGATACTTTCAACAAATCAGAAGTGCGGCTTCAGTTTCAGATTTTAGAACTAGCAGAGAACTGCTTCCTCAACAAACATCTTGAGCTCAATATTGGTTTGTTGTTTTACCTCTTCTTTGTAATTTAACTGTCTCATACTTTCAGTCATTAAAATACAATTTCATAATTGGACTACATTCAGCAATAAGGAACTACAATTTCTAGTTCATCCATAAAAAACACGAATGTGCATCTGGAAACTAATGGTACATCCGTCCTTTCTAAACTGGGCCAAAACTTATTTTTCGGAGGAGCTTTCCGTCAGATTTTTCCTCTGGGCTAAAAATCGTTTCTTCTTGCCGACCACATTGTGTCCACTTCTTAAGTTGAATCTTTGGTTATTATATTTCTTGTATTGGGAATGGGTTGCATTCATGACCAGTGAAACTAGGCCAACCAAGCTTATAATCGCATTGGTCCTAATCATAACCATTCGCAGGTTCTTATATTTCCCTGTTCTACCTCTCTGCCAAATTTGAACCCGATCTGAGGAGGACAATTGTTAGTCTCCCCTTGTTAGACTCTCGTAAGAAGTTATTCAGTTGAAATAAAATTTATCTACTGCGCCAGGTCAAGACTGATCAAAGAGGCCCCAAATTTACAAAGGGTCATTTTTAAAGACTCACCTTTGAATCAGAGGGGCAACTTACTCCTCAAAGTACATCCAAAGTAATCTGGTTCACTGTATGTTAATCAATATACTTCAAGCACTATAGTAAACAAGTAGGGGAAGTGAAATGTGAAAATAAAAAAAGACAAAAGTACTCACATCAAGTAGTTGATGTAGTTGTTCATCTTCGAGTAACGAGTTAACGAGGTCTTTGTGATCTGCATAAACTGTTCCAAACTCTTGCAAACAGTGAATGTCGTCTAAGGAATCCAATATCATATTCACAGCTGCAACATAGAAAAAGTATTTCCAATTTTATTCCAGAGTATAACAAATTTTTTTTAACGTGTTGTAAAATACTGATGACAAAAAAGAACTAGGAAAAACAGCTGATGCCTGACTCAGATTGTAGGATAATTTTCCGCGTAAGAATGGGAGGTGGGAATATCGACTAGTGATTAACACAGTTGTTCGAAACCTTTTTTGTTCTCAGACCAATGGAGACTCAGTTGAAGAAATATTAGACCCTTTGGATATCAATGACTTTTTTTTCTTATAGATAAAAACATTCTGAGCTCTCCCTCTAATTAAAATGCTCGTTCAGCATTCTCACAAAGGGCATTCTCAAAGTTAATGTACATTTTTATTTTTCTTCCTAACAAGTAAAGAGAAATGAAACAAGGAAAAATATGTTTGCCATCGTACTCTTAGCTTCCCAAGGAATCCTTGTTCCTTAAATTATGAGCGCCTGTTTGCAAATTACATCATTTTTTTCACACACAACTCCTAATGCTGTGAGTAAATAATTTTCATGCCATGTAGAGCATACTTTCTTCACAATTTTCTGGAACTCTGCGTAGGTGGAGAAGTTTCAGTCACCAAATCTCCTCAGTAACATAAAAGAAAGATGAAATCGCCTATATCAAGGTCCAGTAAGTACGAAGGATGAGAAGAATAGATTCCATGTTTGAAGTTAACAAGTCTTGAATTATATTAGCAATACGAGGCCTAACTGTGTTTTGAAAAAACAAAACCTGACGAGACAATAAGACCAGAGCGTCACCGCTTGATTGTTGACCCACCCACTGTTTTTTTCAAAATTTCACAACTTTCTGCAGCATTGATTAGTTTTCTTTCTTAAAGAAATCAATCACTAAAATTCTTTGAGTGACCCTAAATGCTGTAAAAGTGTGATCGAACCAGCAGAGAGGGTAACTTTTACTTTTTGTGAACTGTCTGGTCCGGCGTTTTCCACTTTTTGCTTTTCTCCTTGATGTCGAGTGAATTTATTAGTTATTTATTAGTTATTATATAGTTAATTTTTTTGTCGACCATGTCTTGTGATGCACTTTGTAAATACACTTTGAGTGCATTGAAGTGACCAAAATAATCCTTGTCAGCTGTTATAGTTTAGAAAACCCAGCAGGCCGCTTATTGAAAGTTTAAAGTAGCCCGATAAGACATAGAAGTGCAATATATTGCATGGTTAAGATAGGGCTGTGTCTTGTCGTGTCGGACCGACATAGTTTCAATAATCAGGCCGCAGGTAAGTATATGACAAATGTAGAGAGTGAATATTTTGAACACACAGCGGCAAGAGGTGAAAACAGGAAAAACTATGTCACTCATGAAAGCGGACACCAAATTTAAGCGATGAGGGCTTACTGAAAAGCTGAGCGTATGAGAGCAATAACATTTTATACCGATTTTATTTATCCTTGTTGATTTTGGAGAAAGTAAATATTCATCCTTACTTCACAAATACCCCATGTAATTGGACAAGTTTATTCAAAAGGAACTATGTGCATAGAGACGAGGGCCCTTAGACCTATAGGAGTACATGTATGACAGGGCTCATGTCAGAGTGTAAATAGTTCCTATTGATTTAAAGGTATGATAAAAAGATGGTGGGTGGAATAACCACGTATAACAACATGTTATAAATCCTCAATTTTGGAGTGAAAACTAAAATATTTTCCGAAAACTCACAGCGGATCACTCAAAGGGAATAACCAATTACAAAAATATGCTTTTGCAGTTTTCTTACCCCACAAACTCAGCGATGCATCTAATAATCAAAACTTCAAATGCGATCTTCTCACAACTGGGTCTTTAGCTATAGGTGGTTATTCGTGCCATTGCCTTAATTGATGTCCAAGTCGTTAATTCTACAGACAAATTTATCTCTCTTTTGAGGTGTTCAGAGTTGCCTTGGACCAGTCTCACAAATTATTTCAATGACAGAATCATTTCTGCCCCCTTTTCTTAGTTTCAATCTCAGTCAAACTTAGGGAGGCTTTGCAGCGTGTCAAAAAACAGGCATGCTTGGATAAGATGTAAAGACAGAAAATTTTTGATTCCCGCACAGCGAGGAAGCAAAATTTAGAAAACTGTACATAGCTCATTGCAAAGCTTAGAGTACAGTTATTCCAGCACTTATTTAGTTTTGATCCTGACTTTCATTTGGTACTTGAAAATTCATCCTCATAAAATTCTTAGGCCGTTACATTAGAATGCCTTGTATCAATTCGTTTGATAGGAAGGCTGAGTAAAAAAATTATTTTATACAATGCTAATTTGTTATTATTGTCTTTTCGAAAAGCCAAAAGACATTTGACTTGCACACATGGAGGATAGAAATTGAGAAAACTTGATTTCTGGCAGGATGGACCTGGTATAACCATCACTGGTTTTCCTGAATACTTAAGACAGAAAGTTATTTTTCCTTCTGGGAAAGAAATTCGAAAATTACTCCATTTGTTCAACAGTATATGGATTGAAAAATTGTGCCCCTGCTCCCTCTTTCAAATGCTCCCAATGTTCCTCTGGTAAATACAGCATCTTGCACTACAATGGAGATGGTGCATGTGTGAGGAATTTGTGATTTGACTATCGATTCATGTGTAAAAGTTCACGAGAAACACGATAGTGCGACTGGTTTTCTCTGAAATCAACTCCCAAGCTCAAAAAAGCTCTCAAGTTGAGGCCAAAATGGAGGGGATATCCCACGCTATCCTGAGAGTCCACTTCTACATCATCAAGACAAACTCTCCATGCAAAGATAGGGAGCAACTACGTTGACAGGGCTGCCACCTTATTTGGGGACTCTAAAACTAAAAACACGGCATCACTACTAATGTATTTGCTCCCTATCTTTGCATGGGAAGTTTGCCTTGATGTAGAGGTGGACTATCAGGATAGCGTGGGATATCCCCTCCATTTTGACCTCAACTTGAGAGCTTTTTCTGAGCGTGGGAGTTGATTTCAGAGAAAACCAGTGGCACCATCGTGTTTCTCGCGAACTTTTACATATAAATCAGTGGTCAAATCGCAAATTCCTCACACATGCAGCATCTCCATTGTAGCTAGATGCACGCTGGATGGAATAATACACGCTCGCAAATGTCTTAAAATGCACACCAAGATAAATCAGATGATATTTGCAGCTGTGTAGTTTTATACTGTTATCCCCTGAAACGATGCAAAATATGATCCGAATCGGTTCACCTGTTGCAGAAAACTGCTGATAAATCTAGTGAGAATAATACGTAAGTTGGTATGATAAGACCAATGTTTAAGAGTGAGGGAGCGCTAGCCACAGAAAACAATAATTTTATGAAAATAGATCATCATTTGCAGAAAGTTCCGATCAGAAAACTCTTGATCAGAGAATAAAGAGAGACAATGTCACAAAAAAGACGCAAGCGATGCACTCTCTGCAAGATTAATTCTTATGGCTGTTTGTTTACCTAGAAATCAAGTTTCTCTGATTGATTTTCGGAAATAGAGTACATTGATTATTTCTCAACACCGCATTAATGTTTTGATAATACTTTGAGGATAAGTTTTTCAAGTTTGTGCAAGAAGTAACTGAATTTTGTAGCAGTACAACTAAGCAGATACCACACTTCACCTTTGTCACTAAAAAATCTTTCACAAAACTTGAATCTGAAACGTCAATACATCCGTAATAAAACTCTAACCCTCTTCCTTGCCACTTTTGTTGCTTCCAAATTAAATAAGACACCTCACAGATGAATAGCGCTCCTTGAATGGTGAAACCGGAGAAGTTATTAAATGAACGAAGATGGACAAAAAGATAGGGTGTAAAACTAAGCATCAAAATGAATGTTACCTTTTGGGAATTTTGTATACAATACAATGGACGTATTAAAACTTTCCAAATTCCACTATGGTAATCCAAATAAGGTAGAAAATAACAGTTTTTCTGTACATAAATTCACACTCTCCACTGCTCAGATAAAAATTGGTGTTGCTTACTCAACTTAAATTAAGCCCTAAAGTAATTTTGGTGAATTTCACAAAAATTTAATTCCTGAGTGATTTTTCTATTTTAAAATAACAGAAAGGAGGCACATGATATCAACAAATTTGGCACCAGCTAAATTTTGATATTATTTGATATGATGTTCCTAATGGCCTCCAGAGCACAATGAGCTTTTAAACTCGAACTTTCTTTGTGCCGATGATAAGAAAAGTGAGTCTGAAAAAAGAATTTTTCGGCCTGCTTACATGCATTTGGCTATTGCTTTACAGGCCGTTGCTTTATGTGTTGTCATGTATAAGCTGTGTTATTTGTGAAAACTGTGATTCTTCTCCTTCGTCTTGTCCTCCCCGCTTGCAAAGGAATGAAAGATCTTCTCAATCACTTATAAGATATTGGGACATTTTTACTAGATATCATGTGTAATTATGCCCAAAAATTCACTATTCAGTCCTCTTATCTTGCAATTGGCACAAACAAAATTCATTTCAAATGCTCCATATGCTCAGAAAGCTGTCAAGGAGTATCATATCAAATAATATAAAAATTTAGCCGATGCTGAATTTCTTGGTACAGTGAGCAAAGTTTTTTGTTCCACTCCATGCTACGAAATTCTTTGTTATTATCCAATTTATTTCAGAAATAAAATTTAGAAGAGTAGTTACATTCAAATTTTTCTGCTCTGACCAATAGAGACAAGTAAAACATCGAAAAATAGAATTTTTCCTTTTTAATCAGACCTGGCCATTAATTTCATTCCGGGCTTAAAATCTCAAATTGGACGATAGAACTTTAAAAACCATGTCTTGATGGGCACCAGAGTCTTTTTATAGGATGAATAAGAGACTATTTTGAGAATGGCACTGGAATTCAAAACAACAATGGGTTAGCTAGGCTTGGGCTAGCAAAACCTCGACAGGCGTAGGCAGGCTACAGAGTTGAAAGGCCAGGGAGATCAACGTAAGGACTAATATGATGGTTATTGTACAATCTTCAAGACTAATAATGAGTTCATTGATACAATTAAAAGTTACAGGAGCAGAGCAAAGGCTAACTGTGAAAATTAACAATTTTGTGACGTTATCACAACGTATCCATGACGCTATTTTTGGCAGCTACCTGGTGGATGACCTGTAGAACCTGAATATATTTTGTTTGCCAGGCTATTGGAAGACATAAAAAAACCAGGGGGAGAAAACGGGAAACAAGGTTAAAAATATATAATAGAGGCCGAGACGTTTCGGCTCAGAATTGAGCCATTTTCAGTCGGAGAAAAACACTGGAAAATATAAAATTTAAAAAAATTATATATTTTGCAGTGTTTTTCTCTGACTGAAAATGGCTCAATTCTAAGCCAAAACGTCTCTGTTTTTCATTATGTATTTTCATCCTTAATTCCCTGTCTTTTCCTCCCTGTCAATTCATATTACTATTGTCACAGATTGCTTTGTTAAGATTATAGCTATTGGACAATGGAGAGTAGATCCCAACCCTCATAGAATTGATTGGGAGCCGAGTACATGGCAAATAGTTTGCACTTTTTGTGAATGAAGTGCAAATTACCTGATGAAGTGACTTCATCTTCTCCAAAATCAGAAAATAAGTCAGTTTCACAGTTGACATCCATTTGGAAACTTGCCCACTTTGAAGACGAAACAGCGGCCATGACAGCTCCCTTTAGCCGTCGCCGCATGTTGTATTTTTGTAACTCGTCCACCGTTTTTATGAGATGATCTTTGGACACAACTTTGTCTCGGTCCTAAAATGAGATTGATCAAAAGTTAGAACAATGGATTACACACAGACCTACGAGATTTTTGACCTAATCCAGGTATTATACGATCACAACCTTCAATTCTTATTTCAGTTGGTTTAAGACATCTAAGTTGGACTCCTACTTCTTTTTTCCTTCAGTGGTGGATTCCATGCCATTTTTTTAAGTATGTGCCTCGAAGACTCCGCTTGGAAATAAAAACTGAACATATTTTCCCTATAGATAATTCCTTAGACATCATTTTAGAATCACAAGCAAATTGGAATCCTTTCGGGGCCTGTTATGAAGATATTCTCATAAGCAGAAAGTTAGCTCTGGATAGCAATAATTCATGATTAGAAGTTCTCATTGTCGATAGATGCCTTCAGTTTCCAGCACAGCCACATCCAGTGATCCAAATTGATTTTTGATTCCTGATACACATTTTATTCTTGATTCCAGATCCTCTATTTATGTTGAAAATCATAGGTACTTTCTTTTTTTTTTTCTTTTTAAGTAAGGAAGTTATACCCCAGATATTTTCAAAATATCATTTGAATGTGTGTGTTCTGAAACCGAGATTTGATTCCGATGAGTACATTTGTACATTTGAAAGTAACTTACAAGGGGAGAGGGGGGCGCTAGTCACATCGCCTTCAATTTGAACGATTCTGGTACCAGAAAATAGCTTAAGAAAATCTTAAGACCACCAGTTTTGAAGCCAATAGACCCTCCACTTGTCAATGAAAATAAAAAAAAAATGGGCCCAAGCAGGGTCTGAGCGCATCTTTAAGTGATGACAACCGGCCGCAGTAATGCCACTTGTCATCTAGTCTAATTTAACAGCTGTTTATCCAACTCTCAGGCTGATCAAATGGTTCGCACTAACAACATCGTCAAATCAAGCTAGTGATCAAAGGTTTTTATTCACGTTGCTGAACATATTATTTATGCAATCCTTCCCAGTTTCTCCCTCTCTCCTGACTTCATCTCAACTAAAAGGTTTTTCCTTCTTACGTTTCATTGTTTTTTTACTTCCACATTCTTTATTCTACCTTTTCCACCACCGCACTTGCTGATATTATTAACGACTTTAAATTTTTACCGAACCTTTCTAAAATCATACCATTAATTGAGCCTGAGTTATGATGAGCTGATATCAACAATGACAATATGATGAGAGGCAAGCTCTTTTGAAAGAGAAATCAAGAGAGCTGGGTAGTAAAAAGGGACAAAAACCGAAAAAGGATAAAAAACAATTTCATAGAGGTAAAGTCAGTAAAAAGGGAGGGATCAGGAAAAAAAGTATACAAATTATAGTCGGCTCTACAGACAGCAACCTTCATTAGTTTACTAGCTGATTATTTGACTATCCTGGGAATTGGGTTAGCTGGTAAATCATATTTGATAAAAAGCGGCAGCATTGAGGCCTGTTGACACAATGCTCAGATTCTGCTCACACGTTTTCTTTGATTTTTTAAGAAGTTCTGAGGGTCTAAACCCCAAAACAAACAAAAAATGGTTAGTTATAGATTTTATAAGCTAATAAATGGTTCCAAAATCATCCAAACCAGAGGCGGCAAGACCAGGCCCTCCCTTAATAGATCGGATCGATGGGGTGAAAATCAGGTAACTTCTTTTGATGATCCTAAAATCAGCAACACTAAGATGTTTAAATCTTACCCTCAGCCACCTGTGACTCAGGACATCTTGAATAGTAGGCCTTGTGTTTGGGTCTAGAGTGAGCATTTTTCGAATCAGATCTTTGGCTGGTTCACTGACAAATTGCCACTGCGGTGAATCAAACTGTAAACAAATTTTGAAATTTTTAATTGCAGTTCTAAAACAAAACTTACCCAAACCCATAGAAATTATTCAAAATTACTTGTTGCATACATTATGAACAGTAAACTTAGACAGATTTAATTAGAATTAGCCAGACTGTTTTTCATATTGCTTAATTCTTTTTCAAGTTTTATTTTTTAAGAGGGAACAACATAACGCCTCGAAACTTGTGTGCATACCCTCTGAACTATTTGGAATTAACTCACAAAATGTCATATCAGAGGGTAGATTAGTTAGATATCTTTTGCAAAAATACAATATGAGAGAAAATTAGGAAATGTCTGATAGAGTTAGGCTGCTTCTTGTTAGATCCATCCATTTTATAATCAAATATTTTTTCTACATGATAAAATACTAAAATTAAATGTTCTTCCATCTAAATCGAACTTGTTTAAAACGGTTCACTGTTCGTGGTAGTTAAGAGAAAATATGTATCAATATATTAAACACAAACTCTTTGAAAAACGAAGATAGGTTTAAATGCACTCATCGAATGGACATAAGTTTCAGTTGAGCAAAATGCCTCACCACCTTACGACAACTCCGACAAGGAATAGAAACCAATTAAGACTAACGTAAAATTATCAAAGAAATTGAGCGTTAAAGAGAATTGTGGATAACTAAATACAATTTATTTTTCAAAGCACGGTAGCTCTATTAATGTTTAACAGAGAGAGTTAGAATTTTGGAAAATTTCATAACGGCTAGGAATTTTATTTAATTATTGCTGAGGGGGCATTCAATAGGTCTTCGCACCTCTCAAGCAATTTCCACTAAATTTGTCTGATTTTCAAAGCCTGACATTTGGCAAGTTAAGGATATACATAGAGTCTACACGAAATAAGTTTACACACTTCTAGACTGCAAGAAGATAGTCTGATGTCACTTTTACATGTGAAGTAAATGGAGGGATCAAGACGGCGGATCTTCTGTTGCAGTCTAACAGTGCATAAACATATTTGGCGTAAACTATAAAAAGTCTGCTTATAACGCAACTTGAATCAAGCATTTGCGCCAAAATGCAATGTGCTTACATTCTTTCACTTCCTAGATCTCCCGCTAAAAATGAGCAATAGGTATTTTTCTGCCATTCTAAACACAAGTTTCCTTGATGAAAGACTACCTTAAAATTATGGAACTTAAATTAAATTAATAGACACTCATTGTTGTGAGACAGTGCTGTTTGAACCCTATTTAAACTTGTGTAAAATATCCACATTTCATTGCAAGGCCTGGCAACCTTGAAAACACTATTTCAACCTATCCGTAGTGTCCTCCTAATTCCAAACTCATTTGATGGTGAGAAACAAGCTTTGCGATGCTGAGTGCATCAGAATCCTGAATTTGCATGTCAAGGAGGAGGTAAGATCCCAGCCCAGGTGGCTCCGTCCCTTCAGTTCAATTTAAATGTATACTGACAAATTACATCCTCTAATTTAAGATGGTACGGTATTCTTAAGAGAAATCTCAAAATTTGAAGCGAACAGTGGATGCAATTAAACTCTCTCGTAGACTTTGGCAACAACACCTGTACCTTTGCAGACATGCGAGCACTGTGTTGTAGAAAACAGCATTCCAAGTGGAATTTTCGCATTCATTTCTCACAATCCAACTTGCCTGGAACTAGGAGGACTCAACGCTTAAAAGTAAAAAAAGTACTATACGTAATGAAAAAAAAGGTTCAATTTAATTCCAATATATTGAGTTTGTTACAGGACACCGGAAGTGGCACATAGTGCCGTAGAAAGTTATTGCTCATTTTTGGCAGGGCCGGATTAAGGGGGTGGCCACATGGGCCGCATGGCGGCAAATTTAGGGGGCCGCAAATTTTGCAATTTTTTTTAGATGTAGGTAAAAAAATAAAATTGCAAACGGAAAAAGGCGACAAAATCTTGCATTTCCCGTGAGTATCGTAATTTCTAATTTTGTTGTTTTGCGGTAATACAAAAGACAGCACCTTTAATTTGTCCAGTTATGAGAGAAACCAATCAAGCAATTTGGCCAGAACGCTCATTTATGAACATTCTTGGCCGTTTTGGTCTGACATTGGAATCTGAAATTTGTCAGTGTCATTTTTGCGTCAGAAAGTTGGCTGCCCTTTCATTAGTCTAGTTGAGAGAGAAATCAAACACGCAATTTGGCCTGGAGCGGCGCGGCGCAGAGAGCAATGATGACGAGGACTTGAGATGAAAAGGAGAGGCCCTCGGCGCGGCGGTCGGCATGTAAAACATATTAGCGCCTACAAGACTGCATGAATACTTCACGCATAGCGTCAAACACAGTGCGGTCAGCAGCGGTCGCCGTGTAACGCATAGCGCCTACAAGACTGCATAAATACTTCACGCATTGCGACAAACACAGTGCGTTCAGCAGCGGTCGGCGTGAAAGGCATAGCACGTACAAGCGTGTAGGAATACTTCACGCATTGCGCCAAACAAAAAGCGATCAGCACGGCGCGGCGGTGGAAGTTAAAATTATTGAACCACATTTATGATTGTTCTTTCATAATTTTTTCGTTCATTTCTTATTAATGGAAGGCATTGTCCACACAGAGACAGGTCTACGGAACTTAACTTTCGCGCCAAGTTCCGTGAATTTTTGTTAGTAGTGTTGACAGGGCTTCCGCAAAAAATGTATCCAACACGAGTTAACGCGTCTTATGCATCCCTCCCCCTCCGGCACGTTCGCTTGACAGTTTTTATTGATGTTTCAAAACGAATGAGATGGGGGCGGCAAGTAGGTAAATCCGGCCCTGATTTTTGGCAGGCTACCTTGCGCCAAAAACAAAACAAAACAAAAAAAATAAGAAATGGGTACATTGAATTCAGTTTTAAATGCATGAATCGAATTTTGCAAAGTGCAGATTTGTCGGGTACATCCTAAGTTATCCGAATCTTTGGTTGTGACAATCAGACGATTTGCATGGTTCAAGTTGCAAGGGGAGCTGAAAAGACTTGACTTGCTGAAAAGGCTTTACTGAACGCCGTTTGTAATACTGCCGTGCTAAGGAAAAACGCTGTAAGAACATTGGGGCGTTGCCAAATTTCCTTCGATAAAATACGAGTTTCTTGGAAAAACTGTGAACTTTTTTCTTCTAATTGTTTACCAAATTTCATTTACAATTCCTTCTGAATTTTTTTTTTCTTTTTGAATGGCATTGAAATTTGAAAATTTAACATAATCACAAGTTTCCTCAAAAATAAATATGTTACTGTTGAAAATAAAGCAACATTCGATCAATGTTTATACGGCGTTTACTCTTAGCACCGCAGAATATAGGATTCCTATTGGAATTGAAGTTACGCGAAAATCAGAACTTTTCAGCCTCTCGAAAGGGTATAAAAATCCCAAAAATAGCTTGTTTGTTGTTTCAAGTTTAAGAAAATTTCTACTGAAATTCATAGAACGATACTGTAACAGTTATCATAGTAAAAGCTTCCTTCATTACATTTATTTTCCCCTTTAAAATTGTGTGCTGCAGTCGATGTCTTGATCCCAAGAATGGTAAAGTGCCAGATAGAAGAATGTGTAATAACACGCCTGCCGACCAGATATCTACGGGTTTGCCATACTCTCTCCTTTCCGCAACCTCTGGTGCCATGAAATGTGGAGTACCGATAGCTCCTGTCATCAGAAATAAAAAGAAAGAGATTAGAAAAGTCTGTATCAAACAAAATGAATACAAATATGCACTGATAAGGCTTCTAAAAGGCAAGTGATCAGAAAAGTCTTTATCAAACAAAATAATGAATACAAATAGGTACTAATACTGCCGTGCTAAGGGAGAACGCCGTATGAGCCTTCAGACGATGCCGAATTTCCTTCGATAAAAACCGAATTTACTAGGAAAATTTTAGATGTTTCCCCCAAAATTTTCAGACGATTTTTTACGCAATTTAATCTAAAATGTCTGAAAATTTCAAGGGAAAATATGCTTCAACTGCGTCAAATATACACGTTTTATCAAGGGAAATTTGGCAACTCTCGAATGTTCATACGGCGTTCTTCCTTAGCACGGCAGAATAGTGCTTTGAGAAACCTAAAACCTTGATAGAAATCTATAAAACATCGATGAACATTTCATACTTGGACTGCATTTTGCAATTAGGAACTACAATTTCTGGATAATCCGTAAAAACACTTATGTGCAAAGGGAAACTAATGATACATAAGCTGTTTGTGAACTTAGCTAGAAATAGTAGTTCCCGTTCGCAAAAGATGTCCATTTAGATCATAAGGGGTTTGTGTTTCCTACAATCATTTATTTCATATAGAGAGTGTCACTTTGGTGACCCAATTTAAGGAAAGGTACCTGATCTTCTGAGAGAAAATTTTCCGCAACTTTTTCCGAACGATAAGTACACGTTTTTCTACGACCTAAGAATCTCTGTCTTAGAACTTCGGGCCTAATATTCTATCTCCTTCAATTTTTGAGATTTGAGGGTAAAACTTGGGCCTAAATTTTAAGATTATCTTCCTCCACGCATTTGCAAAATGTTCAGGAAAATGTTCTCTCGGAAGATGAGGTCCCTTTTTATGGAAAATGTATGTAGCATTGTAATAAGACATTCTTGTCAAAGAATTGACCCTTCTTAACTTTGAAAAATTACATACGAGAATCAAATAGTTTTCTCTTTATAAATAAATACGATCAAAAATTGTCATTGTTAAAAACTCAGAAAAAGTGTGTCTCTTTAATATAATCGATTTCATCATCATCATATCAGTAAAATCCACCTTTAAATAGATAGCAAAATACATAATGAAATGTTTGATTGAAGGTTTTCTTTTGTCTAACGACCATGAACTTACGGGCGCCNATCAGGTGTATCTGGGAATGGTAAGTTTATTTTGGATCTTGATTATTTCGTCTAACTACTTGATCAATTGTTGCGACGTTGCCACATATTTTCAATTTACTTCAAAGCCGGGAGGGAATCGGAAATCGGTTCCGGCTGCATGAGGGAATCGGTCTTGGGAGGGAATCGGGGGAGGGAATCGGTTTCGGGAGGGAATCGGGGGAGGGAATTGGATGGCACCCGAACTTACACTTCAGTTTTTTTGTTTTGTTTTTTGTTTGAATATCGATGACTAAATGCGAAAAAATGCATGCATCCATCACAGCATTTAAAAATCTCTAAAAATGTTTCATTTTCTCTTAGGAGAACTAATCAATTTGTGTGATTTTATTAGAAAGAATGAGGAAAATTCACAGAAAATTGCTGTAGAAACTGTTGTTAATTAATTCTCCTTTAAAATAAAAACGATTGGAAGCTTACAACATTTCAAGCTGACATACGCATTTTTCGAATTAGCCGTCGATAATGATCTAGTGGAATACTGCCGTGATAAGGGAGAACGTCGTATGAACATTTGAGAGTTGCCAAATTTCCACCAATAAAATTGTTATTTTTGAGGAAAGTTATGAATATTTTTCCTTGAAATTTTCAGATCTCTTAGATCGAATTGCGAACAAAATTGTCTAAAAAATGTCGAGGAAAAATATTCACCAATTTCAAATTAAATTTATTCAGGAAGATACGGCAACATCTAGAGGTTCATATGATGTTTTTCCTTAACACAGCAGAATACACGTGGCAGGAACAGATGAACAAAATTAAAACAGATATTTGAAGGATATCGAAGCAACAAAGATGATCTAGGACGATAAACACAACATATTTAAAATAAATCACATTAGACAAGACATGACATCAAGTTAGCAAGAGAAAGTAAACACCCACAAAATCTTTAAAAAGCGAAAAGAGTTGTACGCAAGAGGAACTAAAGGAGACACTAGCCGGAGAAAGCCATTTGGATCAAAATACTACGTTTTACTTGTAGAGAGATGAAGACGATCAAGGGATAAATCCTTCCCATTTAATTTTAATTAATGAATTTCGAGAACAAGCGCCACTACTATACTTGATTTACAATGCTGTTCAACGCTCATTGTCTAAATAAAATTCAATTATATTAATTAGGTTTTCGGTTAAGGTTAATCGCCACACCCAGTGAATGGTGAAAATGCGCCAGCTACCGTGAATGACATATTGACACAACTACCTGGGTGATTACAGCAACTATCACGGTAGTTCTCAGTTTGTTTAAGCAACTACCATGGTAGTTGTTGAACCGGATTTCATAAGTCATCAACCTACCACGCTAGTTATTGTCATAACCGCGTGCTGGCTGGCTAATTTTGAAGACTATCAACTGGACCGCGTTAAGCAGAAAGGAACCAAGCCACATCAGCTATTGCCAAATTTAATTGGGCAATGTAAGGTTTTATATGAAAAGTGTTGTACGGATTTTTGTTTAAATTTCGGTGAACTTTCTACATAGTACGGAGCAAATTCCTTAAAAACTTCAAGGAATCCGCAGAAACTTTCTCTTGTAAAAGATGAAATAGCCCAGTAAAATTTTGCAATGGCTGATGTAGCTTGGTTCTTTCCTGCTGAACGCGGATTAATTTTCTTTTGTGCACTTACTTTCACCACTTCTAAGACTGTGATGTAATGTATACAACTATGATAGTTTTATATTAATAACTATTAGGATGACAGACTGCAGGTCATTTACAGACACATTTTCTTGACAAAGAATAAACATATCATGACAAAAAAAATAAATAAATAAATAAAAACAGTTAAGTTAAGACTAGTACTTCCAACATATAACTGGAGTCGATGAACGTTAAATGGATTACATTTTGCAATAAAGAACCACTATCTCTGGCTCTCCCATAAAAGCACATATCTGCATAGGGAAACCAATGGCATATAATGTTGTTTCGAAAATGGGCCAGAAATAGTGGTTCCTTGATGCAAAATGTAATCCAAATTGTAAATCCACAAAGAGCCTACGCCCTACGAGCCTATCTGTTAAATAAAGAAATTAAAACCGAGTGATTTCTAACTTTGTTTGAGGTGACAAATTTTTGCTAAAGCGATAAAACTCTCCGATTCTCATCCTTAATATTATTCTCCGTCTAACATTAAAAGAGTAATGAGGTTTCACGAGTGTTATTTTCAACAAAAATCTAATCTAGTCAAATCTACAAATGCTCTATGAGCTCTAAACTATTGCATCATGCTTTAAAAGCCACTACCGAAATGTTTAGAATAAGTTGAAAGAGGTCAAGGAGAAGTATTTCTTTCCATCAGTGGCGTGCGTGCTTTGCGATATATCGATTTATCTGCCACTTAAGCCTATGACAAAGGATCGATGAACAGGGTGTTCGCAACGAACACCTTAATAATCGATTCTTTACCATAGCTTCAAATGGGGAAAAATCGATAATCGATCATTCACGCCACTGCATTTCATGGTCTAAGAAAAGGAAGCACAACTAGCGGGTGTATTTCAGTTTTAAGAGCGGGTAAAGATAGTTGAGTTGATGACATTGAACCTACTGAATCTTCTTTTCCAGATTAAAAATTCCAAAATTGAAGTCAAGTACAGCACTAACGCAGACGCGGACTACTTAAACGCACTACTCTACACACACGCACACATACAAAGGTGACAGAGGGACAGAAAAAAGGGAAAGAAGGGTTTTTTTTTTCTTTTTCAGTTAGATACCAGTGTTTTCAGCGGCTTCGATCTTCTCCAACTCAGGAAGATGTTCGTAAGAGACAGAGTGGAGGGCTAGACACAGAAAAAGAAAAAGAGGAAAAGAAGTTATAGAATACAAGAGAGAAAAATGAAGGAAACAGAAACAAACTTTGCACCACGCAGCTTCAAAACTTTCGATGGGCTACTAGACAAGAGCTGCACTCGGTTCAGGGCTGCCACAGAATTTAAAAAATGAAATTCCCTGACATTTCCCTGATTTCCCTGACACATTTTGGTGGAATTCCCCGAAAATTGAAGATGTAACGGATGGTTAGGAGGGCACGATTGAAAATAGTTTTCAGGCAAAATTCCTTGTTCGAAATCTCAAACCCATTCTAGAAAGCAAATGAAGGTGATTTAGCAAATTTTCCCTGGCATTTTCGTCACTTTCCCTGACTTTTCAAAACTCCCTGACAATTCCCGGTTTTTCCTGACTGTGGCAACCCTGTAAAAAGCAATGCGTTCCCTTCAGTTCAAAATCTTACGTAAAACACGATTTCCACAATAGGAAGTCCAGGAATCAACTCCTTAACGAGATATTGGCGACACAAATTTTAACACAAATCGAATGGAAGTTAGCGTAAGGGAAGCCAAAGATGCGTACACTGAAAACAAACTTCGGCCGTGGAAGCCGTACTTACGGGCTATGATATAGACATACCGTCCGCGTTCCGGGCTCAGAGCCCGCAAGTTCCGGGCGTAGCTTCCGGAGCGATTAAAGTTACGGCTCCAGCACTCGGAACTTTTGGTCTCTGAGCACGGAACGGACGATATCGGGTATGTCTTTACAGCCCGTAACTTTTTTTCAGGGTAAATGAATTACGTTTCAAAATTCACGCGCTTGTTTTATCATTTCGACGAGATACGGATCAATTCTGTTACTTGTTTAAAAAATACTCCTTGTGAAGTAAAAAAAAGCAGCAAAAATTTAAAGAATATATTTTGATTTGTTCCTCTAAGAAAAATGAAATATACGTCGGAAAATCAGCCATGGAGAAAACTGAAAG